GTCAATTTGAAGTTGAGTCTAGTGGCTTCCGCTAAATCTGTGGTGGTGGTAATACTGGTGATGGTAGTGAGTAGCAGTAGCAGCAGCAGTAAAGCTGTTGCAGTAGTAGCAGCAGGTGGCAAGTGCAGTGGCAGTAGCAGAAGGAGTGGTGGCAGGAGAGGTGGTTGTAGTAGTGGTGGTGGTGGTGGTTGTGTGATCCAAGGGCTTGGATCACACACCCGCCTTTTGATCCATACCCCATGGATCGAGGTATGGATCGTGTGTGGGTTTGGGTGTGTGATCCAAGCCTTATGTTTCTGGCCGTAGCCACATGGGCTTACCTCAGAATACCTGGATCATTGACCTTACCTTCTACATCGGAAGTGAGCTGCTCTTGTTGATGTTTGCATTCTTGAGTGTCACACTTACAAGAAGCTTTCGCAATTGATTTGCAAACATGCAATGAAAGAACTGCTTTCAGAGAGAAACATCACAACAGGTCACAAATTGAAGTCTCGTGTCCACGTCATCTTTCTGCATGGCCGTTAAACCTTCTTCCTCACTGACTTTCACGGAAATTGAAACAAGTCGTTCGTGCCTTTGGGTATCCCACAACCCATGGCTATGGCCAGAGACATGGTGTCTTGCGGGTGAGGTATTTATTTTCAAGTCAAAACACCAAACACAGTGGGATTCAGATTCTAGGAAATGTCGCTCAAGACAAGGCTCAATCCAGGCATGTGACACAAACCAGTGAGGTCTCTGAATTTGCACTGCCATCACCTCGACCAAACTGCAGCCGTGTCCCCCATAGCCATTTGTGGCTGGCTTGGTGATCCAATAATCCGCATGATATAAGTTGAAAGTCTTGAAATGCAGCTGTCGGCCACGATGTTCTCCAAAAGTTTCGCACCAGTGCTCTGCCATCTTTGAGATGAAACAGGGAAGTCGTCGCAACTGTTCCAAAGTGATCCCTCGCTCTTCAGTTTTGGGGATCGCAAAACATTTCCTGGCAGAAAATGGCAAACGTCATGTTGGGACAAGCAAGATTTCAAAGCCTTCCAAGCGGTCCTCACTTTTCATGGAAAAATAAAAGGGATTGTTTATCAATTTTGTGAGGCACATGTCACACATTCACGTTTGTTCTTCATACACTGAAAAATTCGATGCACATTGCACCGGGTGGCAATTTTGTCTGTGCCCGCTACAGTTACAACAAACCTGTAGCTGTAGGAACCGAATAGTTGCTAACCTTCATGTATATAAAACACATCTATCGCCCGCTCAGTTTTCCCAGTATCACCCCATCTCCTCGTTGCTGATCTCCGAGTAGTTGGTGAAAACCAAAGCGCTGCAGCGGGAATCAACGATGTCCTCGGGCTGTAGTTGACAAAGTCCACACGAGAACATTTTGTTGCCATACCACGGACACTCTGGCAAATACTGCTGCAGCAATGAAATTATGCCACCAGCTGTGTTTGAAGTGGCCAATGGAATGTCAAAGCAACCATATCCAGGAAGGGTTGATCGAATGTTCGCACCAACTGACATGAGGGGCGACTTGCGCTGTCAAGCAGCAAATTTTCATCACACATGAATGTTTTGCTGATGAACATGCCGTGGTTTTCTATTTCGCAACATATAAGATAGTCTTTTCAAAACCCCGTGTTGATTGCAAATGGACACTGTGACAAACTTTGTCCGCACTGGATGGCATGCTGCGATGCTCCCAGTTGCCATGTTTATTGCTGTGAAAACGACTGAATGAACTCAACTACTTCGACGAAATCACCCTCGCCCATCACACAGCACATGACTTCGAAAAGCAAGGCGTGTTCGAAGAACATGTATACAAATATGCATGAAGCGCATGCACTTATATATAAAATACAGACAGCGAAGAAAACTCTGTTTCGCGAATATGTTCACCAACGCAACAATTTAACCCCTACCCTCAACGCTGGGCCCGGCAAAAGAAGTAAGATACATTGATTGTATTTGTGGAACAGAAACAATTGCACGCAGAAGGCGTTTGCTGTCGCTTCGTGAATGGCAACATGGATTCAAAGTGAAATCTGGAAACTTCGAGCCATTTCGAGTCGTTCTACAGTAAGTTGCAAAACGATGTGGACATGCAATCGATTCCTGATTGCACCTGTAAAATGGTTGCTTTGGCCGTGTTCCTGAACAGCAGTGTCACTGGTTTGGCAAGGCCGGCTGCGTCACCGCACGCCATTTCCACATGATCTCAAAAGCGGACTTCACGTCACCATGGACCACCTTTCTGCCCCGGCAACTAGCTGGACGAATCGTTCACGCTACTAGTAGCGTCCTTGCTCCTAGTAGCAAGGCCAGGAGCCCCTAGTAGCACTAGTAGCGTCCTTGTTCCTAGTAGTAAGGCCAGGAGCTCTAGTAGCTTCTTGTTCCTAGTAGCAAGGCCAGGAGCCCCTAGTAGCGTCCTTGCTCCTAGTAGTAAGGCCTAGCTTCTTGTTCCTAGTAGTAAGGCCAGGAGCCCTAGTAGTTTCTTGTTGCTACTAATAAGGCTTTGTTCCTAGTAGTAAGGCCAGGCGCCCTAGTAGCTTCCTTGTTCCTAGTAGTAAGGCCAGGAGCCCTAGTGGCTTCTTGTTCCTAGTAGCAAGGCCAGGAGCCCCTAGTAGCGTCCTTGCTCCTAGTAGAAAGGCCTAGCTTCTTGTTCCTAGTAGTAAGGCCAGGAGCCCTAGTAGTTTCTTGTTGCTACTAATAAGGCTTTGTTCCTAGTAGTAAGGCCAGGAGCCCCTAGTAGCTTCCTTGTTCCTAGTAGTAAGGCCCTAGCGGCTTCTTGTTCCTAGTAGTAAGGCCAGGAGCCCCTAGTAGCGTCTTGTTCGTAGTAGTAAGGCCAGGAGCCCCTAGTAGCGTCTTCCTAGTAGCAAGGCCAGGAGCCCCTAGTAGCTTCTTGTTCCCAGTAGTAAGGCCAGGAGCCCCTAGTAGCTTCTTGTTCCTAGTAGTAAGTAGTGGCGTCGAATGGCGGCGCCAACACTTCTCCTTTTTGGTTTTTCACCCTCGATCGAAGGGCCGGTGGCGCCGGCGTGTGCACAGCGACTGGCCAGCAGCGGCACGTGGGGCGCTCACGAAATCGCTGCTGCGTCGCACTAGCAGAACTTCCAGCGATTGCTGCAAGTCAAACCTCAGCTTCGACGTCCCCCACACCGGTCTTTCGGCCTGCCCTTCGGTCCGTTCAATCGCTGGTCATCGCATCATCTTCTCGTGCTTTATTATTTTCTTTTCTTCGATCTTCTTCTTGTCTTTGCTTCTTCTTCTTCTTCTTCTCATCTCTTCTCCAACCTTCAGATTCCAATGAGACTGTGTCGGATGAGGGTGATTCACCGTGACGCATCTCCAAGCGTCCGATCCGAGCGTCATCCGACAAAGAAGGTGTCTCCATTTTGGCGACGTGGTGACCGGTGGTGACAATACAAGTCAATGTACAGATATATGTAAAAAAATACAGTAACAGTATATATCGAAACCACCCTGGCTGTCGATACTGGCAACGGGAAACAGCCGGATTTGGGATCACTCAAATACAATGCAACCAAGGTAATTCAAAGAAGCCCTGCTTCCCTAGCCAGAACCCTGTCCAGCGCCCTCCGACTCTTTCACCGGGCGCCCTGCGCTCTATGTTCTTGAGCAAAGGTCGAACTCGACCACACCAGCCACTTCCACGGTCGAAGTCCCTGCTTCGATGGCTCAAGGATGCTTGCCACCCTTCCAGCCCCACTCTCGAGAGGTGATCGGCCACAGTCGTGGAACATGTGACATGGTTGTTCGAAACAAGTGACCGATTCGACATTCTCTTTATTATCTCTTTTGTCGAACATGTTCCATTGAGAGTGAACTGGAGCTCTTGAAGACTTGTGGAAGGCTCAAAAAAAGAAAATGATTTCTTGACTGTTCCTCCTCGGAGTAAATGCAAGACTTTCACACAAAAGATGATGTCCGGGGAGGACTTTGGAGAACCCATTTCTCTTGTGTCTATTCCCAAGGTGGTGGCACATCATCAGTTTCCTGAATCTCGATGGCTTTGACTCAATTCCAGGAATAGTGCGTTCCCCTTTTTCCATCTGCAAATGCAAATTAGAACAAAATTTACTTCTGGTCAAGTGTCTCGAGATCGGTCTGGAAAGCATTCAGTGAGGACGTCTTGGCTCTTCCTTTACTGAGCTTCAGTCAGCAAATTAAAGTTGAGGGTCCAGATGGGCACCCTTCGAGGTCACTCTGGCTAGTCATTTTTCGTTTTTGAAATTGTTTTGATCACAGTGAATCATGTTTTAAGCATAAATTGTCACAAATAAGATTTAAACTGATTAGGATATACTCAATCAAGAGTAAAAATGATTCAAAATGATTAGACATGGTTTTGAACAAAATTCACCAACAAGTAAAAGTATGAGTGAACCAAAAGTGTTTTCACAAGTAAGTCCACGAGTGAAGCCACGAGTGAAGTTGCAGTGAGCTTGCAAACAAACTCAAAGTTCAACATTTCCTTTTACGATAAGTTGATGAGTCGAGCGACAAGTCCACTTACAAAACACAATGAAAGAAGTACTAAGTCCTTTACGATAATCAACGAGGCCAGGAGCACTGTGCTGTCAGGGATTGTAGCAAGTCGTTGAAAGCTTCTGAAACTAGTAAGCGTTGGCTGACGAGCTCTGCGCTGGCAGGGATTGTGACAAAGTAAGGTTTTTGAAACTAGTCAAGTATTGGCTGAAGGCAATTGAGTATTCTTTTTGAAAGTAGTCAAGTTTTGGCTGTGCTGGCAGGGATCGAAAGAATTTTGAATAGTAAATAATATTTTTTGCTGAGCACTGTGCTGGCAGGGATTGTTACTGTAAGATTTTGAATCTAGGCAAGTTTTTGCTGAAAAGCACTGGAATCGTAACAACTATGTTTTTTGAAACTAGTCCGGGTTTGGCTGAAGAGCACTGTACTGGCAGGGGTTCCAACCCTTGCAATCAACATCAAACTCAGTCAAGAATGCAGTAGGGCTCCAGTTTGGTCTAGGTTAAAATTGAGCAATACGTGACAAGACATTCAGCTCAATTAGCATCAACCTCATCAAACAAGTCATGGTCATCCATTGTTGATCTTCATGAAGATTCACCTGGCTGGCACGTACAAAGTGCACTGCTATGCAGTTTACTGCGCTGCAAGCCTGAGTCCCAAACATGCCTGAAAATATCAAGGAATGTCGCAGGCCGCAAACAAAATTTTCCCAAAAAAACATGTTCAAAGTGATCGCTCACAAGTAATTTAGGCAAACTTGCCCAACAACTTTTGGCGGGCACCATGTGAAGAACCTGATTCATAATTCATAGAGCAAAGTATTACAGTCGAGCGGTGACAAGTTGCAATACATATCACTTTGGCTGACACATTTTGGGCACCATGTAACGCTTTAAACGTTCAATCCGTCCTCCACATGCTTGCATTGACCTGTGACATGGAACTTGTGCTCAACTCCGTCATAAAAACAAGTCTGCTCATTCGACATCCAGATGAAGAGTTTGGCACAGTGCCCTTCAGCTTCCACTCTGATTCAACGCTTCATTTCTTTAAATGATTCTGCAACATCCAAAATCATATTCAAGTTGACCTTCAAAATCATTTCAAAAATGTCTATTTTGCCTGATCAAAATCAATTCAGAGAACAGCCAGCAGAAGCATAGCCAGGGTCCCATTTTCCAGCAGTTGGCTTCAAGGTTGAGGCTGCCTCTTTTTGGTTGGCTGCATCTCCTGATGCGTTTTGCACCTTCTCTGCCAAAGTGAATTTCCCCAGTGTGTTCAAACCTTATCTATTCAACATGCTTGCTTTTATGATTTTGGTTGAGCCATTGCAATGGTGTGCTTTTCTCTTTCCCCTTTGCCAAGGGTGTTTCAAAATTTGCTTTTTTTTCAACGAATTGCCCTTCGGTTTCCCTGTTGGCAATGCTTTTTTCATTATTTTCATCACCTTTGGGGCCTTGGCTGGC